TAACAACAATATTAGGTTAGACTTTTGTTGATAGCATCATGACATAAAAAGCATTGTTGGAACTATGTGTTACCAAAATGAACAGGCTTTTCTGTATATTAGAAGTTGTTAATCTGACTGAGTTTTACCAATAATTATACTATGAATACGCCACGAATTCATTTCATAATGGTCTTAATTTTTATTAGCTCATAAAGGAATGTACCAAAGTTTGACTGCCCCGACTGCACTTTTCTGCCTCTTTGTTGGTCAAGCTTGATTTCGCAAAATTTATTCATTTCAGTTAGCTATGAAATGTAAGGTTAGGGTATATTATGGGGTGGGGGTGGTAGTACTTACACGGTCATTTTTGACGGGTTATACGCTAATATATATATTTAAATATCTGTATATGTGTGTGTGTAGATAAATGTGGGTGGATATTTTAAAGAGGGATTTATAAACGTCTCTGTATTACATTGCAGTTATTTTGTGATAATAATTCTGTGGTTTAATACCACAATGTTAATAGTTCTTCGGATATATGGTGTTACTATGACTTAACACAAACAATTGTCATATGCGATTTTATAATGATAGCTTATTTTACCTGTGGTTACTGCTATCTACTTTTGTTTTAAAATTATGAAGAAATTATTGTATATCCAAATTACAATAAAAAATCTCGTACTTTTTTCTCTGAATTTTCTTTAGTATTTCGAAAAGGTTCTGGCGGTAAAGCAAAATCATCTAAGTATTGAAGCGGTTTTATTGTTTGTTATGAATTTTGTGTAAAGCTACGCAAGGGCTATCTGTGCTAGTCATCCCTAATTTAACAGAGTAAGATTATATGAAAGGCAGCTAGTCATCATCACCCACCGCCAACTCTTGGGCTACTCTTTTACCAACGAATAGTCAGATTGACCATCACATTATAACGCCCCCACAGCTGAAAGGGCGAGCATGTTTGGTGTAACGGGAATTCAAACCCGCGACCCGCAGATTGCGAGTCGAGCGCCCTAACCACCTGGCGATGCCGGGCCAATTGAAGCGACAACTAAAAGTTTATATTTTGTGTATACAAACCATTTGTGATCGTAGTGGATGAAGAGCTCAAGTGGCTGCTGTTGGAATGTTGAGGGAAAGCGTTACAATGGAAAGATGATTGTGATGTTCCCCGATATATGGTGTCAGTTAGAAGTGAACTGTTGGACGGCTGGGATGTAAGGGCTCCTCCATTCACCATGAGAACTCTTGTCGAGCCAGATGTGCTTGGGTGGGCCATATTTCTTCCGGATCCCAACAAAGAATGGTGAGCAGACTGCGTGAGTTGCGCGTGAAGTTGTGAGTCTTGGTTGAGAGCTTGCTGACTTTTATTCATAATAGTAGATGACCGTGGTATGTCGGTGTCAGCTTGGGAACTGGACATAGAGTTGCATGTCGAATGTGGTGTTGCTCGTGAGCGCGTTATTTCAACCTAAAAAATATAAATATATAAATTGTTTGCTTGTAAACACAAATCTGCATTATGAATTATCTAGTTTGTGACCGTAGGTATCAAACACCAAGGTTTAGGATTATGAGCCATCGGTGGGGGGGGTATATTTATTTTTACTTTCTACAAGTTACTCAAACGAAAAATACAACCTTAATTGTTGACCAGTCTTCGAGCTACGAAAACATTTGAAATACATCTTGATTTAATCAGCTTTTAAAATAAATCATTATTCTAATCATTCAAGATAAAGATATAAAATACATTGATGACTTTCTTAAAAATATACCGTACATTAAATCTGCGTGTAGACTTTTAAGTAAACATCATTATAAATTAGCTTGTAAAATAGCAACTGTTAGCAAAATATTAGATTTTTTCAACTACTACATCTTTTTTCTAATCAAATATCATTACAATCAATGCCGATCCTAGTTTATTGCTTGAAAGCAACAACTCATAACGTACAATTATATGTTTTTAAAGCTCTTTTTTTCAAGGGGACATTCAACTGTTTGATATGACCAATTAAATGTTTATATATCAAAAAGAGAATGTCATATACTGAAAGAAAGAGGTCAGAACTACAGACGAACACAAGAAAAACAAAATTCAATAAGTAGGATATTTATTTGTTTTTAATGTTCTTTTTCTTACAAACATCTGTCTACCAACCTATCTATCTGTCTAGATTATTATATCGTACACCTTCGGAGTAAATGTGTAATTTCACATGAATGATAAACTTGTAGTTAATACATCAATTGAATGTAAGCAAGGCACACGAATATTTGCCATATTATACTACAAGTCTACTTATGTTCGTGTATGTATATACTTCAATAGATAGGCGCATCAGTAATACAACACGGATATATTTCACGCACTCTTTACATTAGGTATGAATTTGCTTGTAAAGTTCTGCTGTTTCTTAGAATTTGTAGTGCATATTGGAGGGAGTTAATTAGCTGAACTAAAAAGCTTTTGTTATTATTATTATCTAGACGGTAACAGTCGTTTCTTTATAATTTGATTGCCAAAATGCCTAAATTCCTTCAGTATGCACTTCAACTTCAAAAATACAATACAATTTTTCCATCAATCGACCGAATCTACCATAATGCTATAAAAACGTATTTCTTTGGCTAAAACATAAAGTTTTTTATTATTATTTGGAAAGTGAAGATTTGTTCGTTTTATAGCAAAGCCACAGTGGGCTATCTGCTGTGTCCACCGTTGGGAATTGAACTCCGGATTTTACCGGGGGACGGAGAATAAAGGTAATTTTTTATAACTTCATTGCTAAAACAAACAAATTAACATATGTTTTAGTAGTAAGAGGTAAGTGATTATAGGCATATGTTTTTTTCAAACTTTTGTAGAATATATTCATTTGGAAATCAGAAAGAATCATTTATTATTCCCTAGATGTCCTATGACGCCATTGTTATTCTGTTGTGTATTGAAGCAAATAGTTCACAAAGTTATATGGCGAAGAGAAATATTTTTTTTTGTCTGAAGTACTTCCCCTCCATTACGTATTCTAAGAGAGAATTCAAGCGAAGTATTACGACGTCAAATTTGAGAACACTTGATCAAGCAAACCAAAGTTATTTTAAAATGTTTGTGTTAGCACAATGACAGTTGTAGTTGTTTATGAGACGTGCTATTGTAATGGTCAGGGAAAATAAAAAAAGATAAAAAAATTACGTTAAGGTATTAAGATTGATAAAAAATATTGGCATCCGAAAATTAAAATACTAACTTAAAGAAACTTGTTAATTATTCTTCTATCATCAAGGTCCTAAAGGGGATTTTACTCGTCCACGAATAAAGTCCAATAGGGATCTCTAAAAATGTCCTCTCACACCAAAAAACATAGAAAAGAATGTGTTAGAAGAGTGAAAGAGAAATGTATTCAACCAAAAAAAAATCACAGTAATCACTTTTAAGAGTAAACCAAACATACTTTACCACAGCATATATGTGTGGATAGAAACTTCTGAAGTTATTTTATTCACCAATGAGAGAACCCCAGTGTTTGGTTATAAAGGGAGCGTTTTTTACATATGGTGACTTACATTTTTCAAAGTAAAGGTTACACACGAAAGAAAATCCCCGGTTGAGATCTTCATGCCCACCTAAGAAGAACCTTTGATAAGAGAAAAATCCGAATATGTTTTGACATACTAATAAAATAAGTTAGCACTTCAATTCTTTTTAGAGCCCTGTGTCTCCTGATGGGACAGTGGTAAGTCTAGGGACTTCCAATGTTAAATCCAGAGTTCAATTCTTCGTAGTGGACACGGCAGATAGCCAGATGTGGCTTTGTGCTAAAATACACAAAATAGCCCTCTAGAAACTAAGAAAACTGCAGGGACTCATTGCTTATTTAATTTAAAGCTTGATATACTTTTGATAAATATTAAAAACTTGCTATTTGTTATGCAAATTAGTTTTTGTATTCCTATTGTAATGCCCCCCTTCTCCCAGTAGCTCAGCGGCACGTCTGAGGGCTTATAACGCTAAAACTCGAGTTACAATACTCTTTATGGGCCGAACACAGATAGCCCATTGTGTACTTTGTGTTTAACAACAAAAAACAACAACAATAAACCCTCTTTCCAGCAGAAAGTTTTCTATTACGCCTTCTGAGTGCAAAACCTCATATAAATGGATAATGTGGTAATTACCATAAAATATTAAGGCTTATGCAACTACTTATTTTCATACTTTTACACTACAAACTACTTCACATCAAAGTGGGAGTTTCATAATCATGTGTAACTTTTACTTTTCATATATTACTTTAATAATATGGTAGCTAATATGTAACTGTAAGTTTTCCATGCAATCTACCTTGAAATAACACACATACCCTACAAAATATACAAAGGAGATATTCAGAATTTACTTAACTGCAAATTCATTCCGCAAAGTAAATGAAAAGTTTAACATTTTCTGATCATTAGTTTGCAGAATCAAGTTTTCAATAGCTGATTTATTATTATAATTTTTTGCTTTAGAGCAGTTACATCTTAAATCATGCGTTCGAAATGCCTCTCTCATACATCCGATATTTATCGGGCTTGTGCATCTAAGTAATATCAATATGGGTTGCTACACATTAACCTTGCTTTTTACCAGTCCCAGATATTAACTCATGAAATGTTGGTACCGTCCACGCCTGCGTAATCTATTTCCTTATGGTAAATCTAAGAACATATCTCTAACTCCTAATAATGAGTGCATCTTGAAAAATTAAGAGAAATATTCTCATGGTGCTTCATGACAGATTGTGCGTTCTGTTGAAAAAATGAGAGATTTAAGTAGCAGACGATATTGTTACGAGAATTTACGTGGTTGATCGATACGTCAAAGGTATCCAAAACAGCGTCTATTTTTCACTAGAACGGATAATTATATCAAAACTTACCTTATATATTAAATTACACACTGTAGAAAATACATTTACCAAAATATCAAAGACTAAATATAATGAGCGAAATTAACGCAATTAACAATTAAAGTGTCCTGTTGTACATTATGTATTAAACGTACTTGGTTTGATACATTCCTAGGCTGCAAGTTTATCAAATTGGTTTTGTAACTTTACAACAGCTACACTTATTTCTGCATAGGCTACCTAAATAATAAAGAATTAAAAATTAAAGATAATGAAATGATAAAAACTGGTAACAAGGAGAAAATCAACTCAAAACATAATATATACAATGAGCAATTTTCTACTTCACAGAAACAAAAAGTGTCGTTACTAATTTTAAGCACATATAACACAAGATTTATTTTTCAACCAGAGGCGAAGAAGTTGTTTTGGATAGTAGGGCAAGGAACAAGAAATTCCGGTAATTGTTTCTAGGAGTTGTTGTATACACTTTGGAAAGTCCGGAGTCTGTTATATCCAAAGGTCAATTCATATCATGGTAAAGTATTTCAGTCTGCAGTTATGAGCTGTTAAAGAGACATAGGATTTTGGAGTGGGCACACCATCTCACCAGCACTGGTCAGATACACGAATTCTTTCTTCATTCTCAAATCAAATTATACGACCTTTCATCATTGTATGTTTGAGATTGGATACCTTGTTTTTGATCTTTTGACCTGGCTGAAAGCTACTACTTAAACACTTCTATCCTTGTCATTACCAAAGCCATTTTTTAGTGCTGCCACAGAATTTTTTGGATTGATAGGTGGATTTGCTTTAACAAGGCTGGCATAAAGCCCATCGCGATCGGATTATTAGTCGAACATCTCCGAATCTTGCACATACATGTAATTGAGCGAGTAAATGGTGGCCGATGATGACATGCGGAAAAGTAAGAAAGTTCTAGTTCGGGGCTTGGAGCTATCTGCTGAAGAAGATCTACTGAACTCTGGTCTGAAAAACAGGTGCAACGACGGGCGAAGAAGAAGGAGGCTCAAGTATCTGACCCGTCGGTTAAACAACAAGAAGTACTGTCATTAACTATAGGTTTTCTGCTGATGCTGTGACCAGTCATAAGTCGGTCAATTTTTGTCCGATTTAGAAATTGTTAATTTTAATCGTCATATCTCGTCGTACATCCTTATAAATCAAAGCCTGATCCCTTCCACAGAGACGCCTCTGGTTGGAGGAGATATTCTGTGTTAAAGTAACAATTATGAAAATATGTATAAATCTGACCCTTCAAATTTTAATATAAACACAGCTGCAACCACGATCGTAACTTCACTGTAACACTGTCACCAATAGTTACATCAGTAAAACCTGATATTGTAACTTCATTGTAATACTCTCACTAAACGTTACATCAATAAAACCTGATTGTAACTTCACTGTAACACTGCTACCAATAGTTACATCAGTTAAACCTGATATAGAAATAAAATTTTCATAAAGTTAATGCGTAAATATATCTATATAAAAATCCATTGAATTTTATGAATATTTCCAGCTGATTCTAAAATATTCTTATAGGGAGACTTACTGCAAGAGGCTTTAGTCCAAGTCGCATTCTTTTGGCGTTTTGGCTTTCGTTTTCACAGGCAGTGGACAAAATTTGTTCAGCCATAGGAGAAGACAAATGTGGTGCTGATCGTCCCTAATTGAGCAACAGAGACAAATATACATTTATATAGATATATATATATATGTTGGAGCATAGAAAATAATCAAATGAAGTTCCAGGTTATTTTGAGTTTGAAGATGATGCCACGAACTTGGTAAAGATTAAAAATACTGAAAACATTTTCTTCTATACATTTGAACAGAGATTACGTACAGTTTAACGGTTTGTTGCAATTTGAAAATACAGTCGAAAGAAAATGTATAATTTCGTCAATTGTTTTTATAGAAAGTTGCAACTTTTCACACATAATTGTGACTTTCATTTTAACAGTTATATATATATATATATTGTAAAGAATCAGTACTCATGAAGAAATGCAGCTTCCCTTGAAAACAAGAAAGTAAATCAATGCAGTTCCATGTCACGGGATGGCGCTTTGAACAAGAATTGTTAAAAACCGTCTCGATGGTAAAACCATGCAAAAGAAAATGAATCTCGCGCGTGCACAACACTGAAATTTCAAGATACGAATTTTCTTTTATATTAAATCTTAATCTGGTTGTTTTTCTCAACAAAAGTCTAGAAACAAAATGCCAATAATCAAAATGTTTACAATACTTTATGTTGCCTGTATGGTTAATTTGTATACATTATAAAGGTAAAAAAAAAAACAAAGTCATCAGAACGCGCTATTTCAAGTTTAGGTTTCACACACCCTTTCCCATGCGTAACTCAAATCTATACCAAGCTGCTCCCCTTCTCGGTGTTCGAATCAAAACAGACTTTAGAATACGGATAAGTTTCAGGCAATATTACATTTCTTCTTTGTATGTAAACATCCAGTAGAAAAAAATAAAACTAAATATTCCATAATTTGTCACAAAAAACTTTACATTCACAGTTTTATAATATACCACACTTTGTGTATATAAAGGTAAAAAACGTTTATGATTAATTGCAAATAACGGTATTATAAATTAACGACTAATGGCTTCAGTAAACAACAAATCAAAATTTTAATCAACATTTATTTCATTCAGAAAAATAAACATATCTAAAAAAATTCTCTGGTACTTGTAGATTAAGTAAAATTCTTATCGATTAAACTGGTAATTTCACAATGTGGAAATTATTCTTATGGTAATATAATGAATATCCTACTGACTGTATTTAGTATTTTATGTACTAATATATATATCACACCATTTAAGTTGCTAGTCAAAGTTTCTGTTTGGAAAAATCAAACAACTTTTTTATTATAAAATAGAAAAATCTCGCAAATTACCATATTTATCGAGATTCGAAGATGGCATTGTAATTTATTCCTGTACTGTCAACAGGTGGAAAAGTGGTTACAAGTATTGTAATAATTTATGCTATAATGAATAACACAATTAAACTGAAATGTTACTTATTCAAACAATAAAGGAATATTTCTTGCTTTTTCAATATAATATGAAGTGTAAGTATAAACTGGAATATTAGACTATAACTTATAAAAAAAAAGACTGTGTAAATTAAGACTTATAAGGTTATACTGTACTCACCAATTCTAACCCATTCTGATCACGTGTTCTTTTTGCCCTGCGACATGATTTGAGGTATGTTCGAATTCTTTTCCTTGCTCTTTCCACAAGTTCTGGAAATTGTCGAGCACAGGATTCAATAATAGCCTGAATCTTCTCTTTTGGTTGTCGAGATATAGGCACCATGCGGTCCAGGTTCTCGTCCACAAACAAACGCACAAACATCTGAGTAAAATGGAAGACAATTAATAATATTTCTGACAGGTTTAGCCTCAACTAGGAGCTTAGCTGTAAGCCGTTAGCTTGGGGATATATAACACTAAAACTCGGGGTTCAATTCCTGCGGTTGACAAGCTCAGGTTGCCCACAGTATTGCTTTGCGCTTAACAACAAAACAAACGAACAAATTCATAGGTTTAATTCATTTCTAACATTTCCAATTTCTTCTCTGTTTCCTAGTATCACCATATATGTCTATTTTATTCGGTATCTCTCTCTCTCTCTTTATTTTTACTCAAAATCTCTTTGACATTATTTGCGACGTTTACATATATCGCTAAAAGTAGCAGAATATGCCAAACACAGAAACAATTTAATGGATATAGTTTTCTCTATAGAAATTCGAGATTGTAAATACTGGGAAATAGAAACTGGGCTGTAAAGAATTTGCTAGCACAGAACAAAATCAAAATTTCCCAAACAGATGACACAGTATAATACAGTAAAATTTACACTATTTTCGAGTTTTACAGAAAGAAATATAACCCAGTAATTTAAAGTGATTAGAAATAAGCCAAATACATTTACAAAGTTTTGCAAGGTTAATTTAATATTTCAATTATTCATATAATTTCCTTTGCCTCATCGCAAAAAAAGACCCTCCTTCTGAGTATCTGAAATCATCAGTTCCCACAACCCGATTTAATGTATGAAATTATTTTCGTACATCCAGATGGCCAAATAGGCTGCAATAACCTTACCAAGAAATGTCCATTTTGTTTGTTTGTTGGTAGTTAAGCACAAAGCTGCACAATGAGCTATCTTTGCTCTGCCCACCACGGGTATCGAAACCCGGTTTCTAGCGTTGTAAGTCCGCAGACATACATAGAGGAAAGGCAACAAGTTAGCATCACCCTCCGCCAACTCGCAGATTGCGAGTCAAGTGTTCTAGCCACTAGGCTATGCCAGACCACGATAGGAGAAGAGGAGAACAACGTTCCATAATATTGAAGCCTGCCATACAAAATCATTCTTTTTTTTCATCCTGGAAAAATATATATAGATTAAAATAACTTACTCGTTAGGAACTACATTTGACAGAAAGGAATAGAAAAAGTTGAATGAAACTAAGGAGCGAAGAGTAAAGCAACAGGGAGTAGCACTTTTCATCTAAAATCAGTTATCAACTCCGACTGGCAGCAGAACAGAAAAGTAAGTAGTACAGTTTATTGGCAATAGATGGCAGACGCTTCTATCTGTTTGTTTGTTTGTTTTGAATTTTCGCGCAAAGCTACACGAGAACTATCTGCGCTAGCCGTCCCTAATTTAGCAGTGTAAGACTAGAAGGAAGGCAGCTAGTCATCACCACCCACCGCCAACTCTTGGGCTATTCTTTTACCAAGAATAGTTGGGTTGACCGTCACATTATAATGCCCCACGTCTGAAAGGGCGAGCATGTTTAGAGGGACGGGGATTCGAACCCGCGACCCGCAGATTGCGAGTCGACCTCCCTAACCCCCAACTGGTATGAGAATGTGAATAAACTAATATGAGAATGTGATATGAGAATGTGAATATGTGATATGAGAATGTGAATAAACAGCCTTCTGAAGTGTGTTTAGTTGATCCAGTGTAAATTAAAATATGAAGAATTTACCTGATTTTACAGTATAATGCTGTGCCTGGTTTGTACGGTATGGTATGTGCCCATTCACAATGTACTGCGAAACGGGACCGCTAACCATTCAATACCAAAATTGTTGAGATTTGCTTAGTGAAAAGCTACACAATGGCCAACATGAACTTTGTCCACCGCATGAATCGAACCCTGGATCTTAGCTTGCGAATCCGTAAACCTAACGTTGACCCATCAGGGGATGTTCTACTACCGTAAAACGGGGTGATTAGGGACATATCTATCGCCCTCACTTCTCAAGCTATGGCTTGAAGATAAACGAAATTGGTGGATAGGTGGATCAATTGTAGCTCAATATGTTTGTCTAATTAGATCTCATAAGGCATAACAGGATGATTAGGAACGAATATTAAGAATTACCTATAATCCCTTTTTTTCCATCTTGAAGTATATAGGGACGATCAAAATAGTTTAGATAACCACAAACGTTCTCAAAATGACCATTTCTCAACACAGATATTTAACAATAATGAAAGGAAAACATCTACCAGACACCAAAGGTTTTGAAAGGAAAACATCTACCAAACACCAAAGGTTTTAAAAGGAAAACATCTACCAGACGCAAAGGTTTTGAAAGGAAAACATCTACCAGACACCAAAGGTTTTAAAAGGAAAACATCTATCAGACACTAAAGGTTTTGAAAGGAAAATATCTACCAGACATCAAAGGATTTAAAAGGAAAACATCTACCAGACACTAAAGGTTTTAAAAGGAAAACATCTACCAGACACCAAAGGTTTTGAAAGAAAAACATCTACCAGACACCAAAGGTTTTGAAAGGAAAACATCTACCAAACACCAAAGGTTTTAAAAGGAAAACATCTACCAGACACCAAAGGTTTTAAAAGAAAAACATCTACCAGACACCACAAGTTTTGAAAGGAAAAGATCTACCAGACATCAAAGGTTTAGAAAGGAAGGTAAACGGGTGTGAACTTGCAATATAGATATCAGATATGATAAAACGCAAACTATATCTCCATGAAAGTAATGTTATGCTTCAATGAAAGCTCAGACACTGAAGTTAATATCATGAAACACTATGATAATCTAACAAATTGTTCATTTGAAATTAGTAGTGAAGCTGGATGAAGCAGATTTTGTCCTTAATCAGTGTGTTTTACAGTACGTTTAAATACATTATGGTTGTGCTAAGGACCCTGGTTTCCGTGCATGTATATATGACGTATTGTAGAATTGATTTTTATTTGCAGTTTAAAAGGCGGTTCGTTAGCACTCCATGACTCCCAACCACCACTGGTAACACTCATGGATATATAGTTTGTCTGAATCATGGAATCTATCGTTCTTCGTACAACACTGAAGGTGTCTTACTTTAGAATGATGATTATAATAAAAATATTATTTTTCATGTGAAGGCTTCAGCTACTCTCTAACAGTACGTCAGAGGACAAAAACAGGAAGTAAAGGATGGGTAGCAGTCCTATTTAGGGGTAGCCATCTGGCTCACTTTAAAAGTGTAAGAGTCATGATTCAACAGCCTGACCCAAACGAGACACCAGATTTATATTTGATAGGCGGGTAAAGAAACTGAAACAATATTCGATCCCCTAGTAAGACACCAAACAGTCTTAGTGCCTCTTGAAAACCAGCAGATTAGAGGCATAAAACAGAAGGGTGGCTAACAAACTGAGAAGTCTGATAGATAAAAACACAAGGTTGGAGAACCAATCAGCTCCTACTGACTCATCAAACAGTACTTCAGAGTAAGGAAAGGCATATCTTGCATTATACAAATATTGAGGATGGAAGAAATATTCTAACACCCAACAGTCCAAACATGAATACTAGACCACCAAGAGATACCTGCTCCTCCAGGTCCAGAAGCAGTTTATATTCAACTCCTAAGAGGCGAGGCTGAAAGAGTTAGACCCACCAATACTAGTGCGATAATTATGATTCAATGTGAAACAGTGTAAACTTAATTCCTTGTTTAGTCATAAGTGTATACACAAGGAATTAAGTTTACACTGTTTCACACTGTGAAGCATTTACTAACTTCTGTGATTATAGATAAGAAAAAAAACTAAATAAGATGTATACGGCTGAGTAAAGGATTGTTATGTTCATCGTAAAATATGCATGTGGTGATATTTACATAAAGACAAAATAAAATGTCACAAGTACTCGGGAATAAAGATATTTGTCATTTTGTGTCATTTGGAAGCATAGATAATGCAATGTTAAAATCCCATTGTAGTGAACCCAGGCAAAATTATTTGGTAATTTATTTCGATACTGAAAATAATAATAATACTATTGTGTTTAGAAAATATTAATATTCATTATTTGTAACTTCTTCCCTTTAGAAACATAAACATATAGTGACCTAAAAAGTTATATTAGTATAATGAATAAAAGAGTTAACATGCAATAGGACTGAAGGTTAAAATAAACTTAATATCTTGAAAGGTTAATTGACATGTTTAAAGCAACAATTAAGATTTTGTAAACAGCAGTAACAAGTGTAAGACATAAAACTTATCTATTGAATTGCACCTAATAACTTTGATGGCTTAGCTTACATTGTAGTTGTTACTATTATACAACTTAAGAATTCGTAAATGGACTAAAGTCTGATGGAATAGATAAACATTGTTAGACATGTTTTAGTGTAAATCTCTGGTAAGTTGAGTAAGGGAATAGTATAGATGTGGGTACGTGGCGGTCCTTGGATCACAAGATTGTAATTGGAATACAAAAAAAATTAGTAAGATAAGTAAACTAAAAATTGGACTAAACATTCGTAAGCACCCAAAAGTAAAATATCCAGAAGTACGTAGTAAGAAACGTGAATACTTAACTTTTATGTATTTTTCATTGTCTGATAGGGCGTTATATTTGGACGGAGAAAGTGCAAAATTAGTTATTACTTCTAGTCAAACGATATGTGACTGTCCCATCCACGTGTGATGTGTTCGTGTACAATTTAAATCTACATTTCTTTCTCTCTCCAGACACACTCAAGTCTGATTTAGGATCGACCAACATTATCTTAAAAAGAGAGAACAGATCGGCTGAGAATGACTCTGACGGTAATGGTCCCATAGAATTTATAATTTGAATACCTAAAAAGGAAATTTAAGGGTTAATAGTCATTTGCAGGTAGTAAACCTTGTTGAAATAATGAATATACAACATTAAAATCAATACACAATTAAAATTATTTCAAAATAATGACTTTGCATGTTTCGACGTGTCACACACGTGTATATTTTTATTTTAACATTATACACAAGTGTCGATATAAATATATATATATATATATATATATATCAGTAAATACTTGTATTTGTTTGTTTGTTTTTAATTATTGCACAAAGCTACACAAGGGCTATCTGTGCTCTGCCCACCACGGGTATCGAAACCCGG